ACCACTACAGACACTATATGATTTGATCATAACTCTGAGGTTGAATAGGATATTATTTATGTGATGGTTCCAATGCCTATGTCAATCCTTCGAAGGCATCAGTGTCATGGTTCTCTTTGAACAATCACATTGTCAAGTCGGACTTACCAGAAGTGAAAATGCGTGATAATATATTGATCAGAACCAACGTTATGACGTTTCTCGGGGTGAGGTTCGATCGCAGCTTGTCATTCAAGGAACACGTTGACCATGTGATAACAAAAGCACGCAAAGGTGTATCTGCATTGAGGATTATGGCTGCTTCCAATATCGAGCAAAGACTACTAATACTTCTATTCTACGGTCTGGTCCTTTCACCCATTGAATACGCTCTGGCCATCCTCACTGTCAGTGCTACCCAAATTGAAAGACTCGAAAAGGTGCAAAATGAAGCCATGCGCATTATTTTGGGATGTACAAGAGACACATCCTGTGGAGCAATGAGGTATCTACTTGACTTTCCAACAATGAACCAAAGGATCAGGATGTGGAGGGCTCGGGCATACCTCAAAATATGTGCTGATAAGAAACACCCACTGCATCAAGCGCTTTTTAGTGAAAAGGGCGACAGACTGAAGAGGGGAAAATCGTGGCTAGGTCGGGCAGAAGATGTTATTAGGCAAATATGCAGCCTAACCGACATCATACCTGGTGCAGAATGGATACCTGTGCCTCAGGCGTTTATTTGTACATTTTCCTGTATTGTCACACTCAACAGGCGATGTAGAGAAGAGAATCCTGTTGCTGTTAATGCAGAGGTCAACGCTCTCATCGGTGAAAATTCAGACGAAGCAGATGCACTAATCTATACAGACGGATCCGTTATACGCCAAAGAAGAAGCGCATGGGCATTTACAGCACGCTCAGCGGGCAGAACAGTCAAAGAAGCCAACGGTGCCTTCTCCATGACAACCAGCAGCATGACGATGGAGGTGATGGCAGTGACGCAAGCGTTTGCCTGGCTTGAAACACAAAAATACACCCGCATATGTATACTCAGTGATTCAATGAGTATGATCCGGAGGGTTCAGGCAGGTTCAGTGCGAAGACAATGGCTTGAATCGTTACAGAAGTCCACTGTGCGTGGAGTCACCTTTATTTTTGTTCCGGGACACGCAGGCGTCGATGGAAATGAAAGAGCTGACAGGTTGGCTGGATCCGCTATCACTACCGACGGTCGGCCTATGGATCATGCTGATATTATCAATGCCCTAAGAGAAATGGGAAGGATAGAGGACTTTGGTGGCAGTGAATCCACATCACTCGCCAGAATGGCAGACTTGGGAATTAAGATCGGCACAGCAAAAAACGAGACGCACACCGGACACGTCAGAAGACTTGTTAATCAACATAGAACTGGTACTATTAGCCATCGGACGTTGGGGTTCATACTGAGGGGAGGATCTGAGCACCTATGGACATGTCCGGAGTGCAATGACGATAACCCAACTAACTAACTAACTAACTAACTAACTAATTATTTATATGAAAACTGCTATCTATACTACCTCATATTGATTTATTTTCGCTACAAAATCGTGCACGAATCTTGTACTGGGGGAAGTATTTACTTTTCTGATAAGTATTTTCTTTTCTAAACCCGTTTTCTTTGCTAATCAGATAAGATAGACAAGTGGATTAGAAGTCCCTGACGAAGAATTTAATGCAGGGTTGAACACAAGATCGACCCGAGCCTGGCCATATTGGCTCAGCAGCCAGCCAGCAGACGGCAACAACTGCAGGTCTGGTCCACGGGAAACATTCAGACAAACTTGGACAGTCTTTTCTCATTTCTCTACGCGTAAGTTTGAATTTTACTTCTCATAAATTGTTGATTTATAAGTAGTGGAATATAAAAAAAGTATTGTCTGCGGTTTTTAAAAATATAGGATATCTCATGCAACAAGTTTGAGTGTCCGTATGAAACTGTTGTGTTTTAGTAGTTTTAGAGTTTGAAGGCCTGGCGACTGAACTGAATTATTTATTTAGACGAAACTTGGACCTTTTTTCTGTGTTTCGCTCTGTCTGCGTGAGTTTTGCTATAACCTTTCTGTTAATGAATTGTTTTATAAGTAGTGGAATCAATCAATCAATCAATCAGGTGCCGTCTCCACAATGAAGGTTGGCTGCAATGGATCTCCAACAAGCCCTGTCTCTTGCCCTTGATGTACACTCACTCCTACTGCTGTTCGTCCATCTCTTGATGTTATCCTCCCACTTGTAACGCTGTCTGCCTTTTGCTCGCCTACCTTGAACCTTTCCCTCTAGGATGATCTTTACAATACTGTTATGTCTTTTAATGTGGCCAAAATATTTCACATGTCTCTTTTTTATTTCACCTAGCAACTCTCTTTTCATCACCAATTTTCTCAGTACCTCTGTATTTGATAGCTTTTGTTTCCATGAAATACGACCTAATCTTCTGTATATCCACATCTCCAAAGAATTGATACGATTTTCCAGTTGTTTGTTTATTGTCCATGTCTCTGTGCCATACAGTAAGGTTGAGAATACATAACATTTGACAATTCTCATTTTTAATATATTGCTTATTTCTCTTGATGCCAGTAGTTTTCGCATGTTGTTGAAAATGTTTTTGGCCATCCCTATTCTTTTCTTGACTTCGGTTTCACTTCTGCCGTCACATGTTATTATGTGTCCAAGATATAATAAATTTTTAACTTGTTCCAATTTCACCCCGTGATATTCATTGTTAGCTGATTATTTTCTTTGCTAAATATCATGGTTTTTGTCTTTTTCAAATTAATATCTAATCCAAATTCTGCACTCCTTCTGTTTACTTGCTCCACTAGGTCTTGCAACTCATGCTCACTCTCTGCTAGCAACACTGTGTCGTCAGCATATCTCAGAAGTAGTGGAATATGAAATGTAAAAGCTACGGTGTGTAAGAATATGGATTTTTCATGCAATAAATCCCAGTGTTTGGAGTTTAAGGTTCTGGCCCACCCAGGGAGGGAATGTTGTCTGGGGACTTGGCTTGCGCTGTACTATGTTTGTTATTTTACTCATTACCCTCTCTGCAAGTTGTACAATTAATGAAACAATCAATGCTTACAAGCGGTGGAGATGTGCTTTCTAGACAAAGGATTAGATTAGCCTAAGTAGATAAAAAGAGTAATGAATAAGTCTTGAAAGAAACTTGACTCATGGCGAGAACTGATCGCGCACTTCAGAAATAGACAAAAAATTTGTGGTCATGAGAAGGAGAAAACTGTAAATCGAAACGGTGATAAATTTGGATGGGAAAAGAGGCAAGAGTTAACCAACAGAGAAGACGTTAAACAGTTTGAGATCATGGCAAGTAAGATCCTTTGTATTTCAGAATTGACTGAAAGTACAAGAAACAGAATGGATCATGACTATCAACGTCACTGGGAAAGAACTATAGGTATAAAAAGTTTAAAAAATTGTGTATTACAAAAATGATTTATAAAATTTACAGTAGGAAAATTATTAGCTGCATTTTACACAAATGAAAGAAATGCAAACAGTCCCTGTGTATCTCCTCATCCGGTTGATGGTATGAACGGATTAACCCTCTGTAGATGGAGCTTTTTTGGAGTTTCAGTTCCAAAAAGACGAAGCCTTAGGAGAGGATTTGCATAGTTTATACACACAAAATTATAAAAAATAAAGCGTTTAATTAACATGAACAAAACTATATATATATATATATATTGCGTGTCAGAAATTGAATGAGCTAACAGAATATTTATGAATCAAACTGAAATCATAACATTTATTCAAATTAACTATTCTGATTTGAATGTTTTGATGGATGAAGCTTGAATAAGTCCTAACACTTGTGTTTTGGGAAGTTAGGACCTTGGAGGCCCTCCAGACACTTCTGGCACATGGTTCTACTCATTTTCCTGCCTCCATCTATGTTTCGGTTGCTTTGACGCAACAGTCCTTTTCACCATTTTTTGGCACAGGTAACCCCAGAAAACAAATGATGTAAAATTACCGAACACGTTAAACTTTCTCCAAAGCTGTCACTAAACAGCCCACATGTGCAAGAAATGCGATTGGCTGGTATGAAAACCTGTTAACAAACAATTAGTCTCGGCACAATCTAGAAATATGCACATGTAGTAAATACATCAGACAGTTGCTAGAGGTGCCAAAGCCCATGTTTGGAATTTTGGGGCCTACTCCAGGGACTGACACACACAGAGAACAAATTGGACTTTTCATTTTCTCTGCATGAAGCTTAATTACTCTTTTCTGTACTAAAATATGTTTTATAAAGTGTAGAATACGATACATAATGCGAATAGTGTTGCGATTTATAAACATAAAGAATATCTTATGCAGGAAGACTTGGACGATTTTAACTTGATATTACTGTGAACAAACATTTTGTGAACCTTTCTATATAAAACTGTGTCACATCATGATGGTGTGAAAGTTGGAGGGGAAAAGAGTCAGGGGAAGACGGAGTGACCAGACGCTGGACAGTTTGACATCATGGCAGAGAATATAATCTGTTTCAGAACTTCTTCTTTGAGTTCCCCGGCTGTAAACTCTGGCAGAAAGTTGTGGTTGTTCGTCCATTTCTGGACTTTAGTCTTGTTCCAGAACTTGAGTTTTGCTTGCATATCTGTTTTACATATCTGGCTTATTTGTATGCAGACTGTTAGTCTTTGGCTCTCAGGCAGATGCACTCTGACTTTAAAGGAAACACCCCAAATTAGTTGCCTCCTAAAACATGCTTGTTAGAGGGCAGTGGGTCTTGTCCTTATTCTCTAAAATGGATCCCTGGAACCCACCCAGGGATGTATGAAAACTAATTTAAAGAACCCAAGACAGAAGTTTGTGGGCAGACATGACTACTGACTCTACATGGCATGCGCTAAAAGAAGATCTTCATTTCAGACAGATCATATGGTTTTTATTATGTTGCAGTATAGATTCAGTGTGCACGTACAGATATAGACATGCCTGACAAACCACCTCCCCCTGAAGTACACACTGGCCAAGGAGGGACACCCTACCCTGCTAATTATGGAGCACCATATCCTACAGGAGGTAACCAGGGCTATCCACCTCAGCCAGGCTACCAAGGTTATCCAGCAGCGGATGGCAGCCAGAACTATCCACCACCAGGAGGCTACCAGGGCTACCAACCGCCTGCCGGGAACCAGAACTACCAGCCCCAAGCAGGTTACCCTAATGCGGGGTACATGCAGCCAAGTGGAGATGCTATAGCCATGCAGCCTTTGCCTGGAGGTAAGTTGATTCCTCGCCAGTTTGTATTATTGTAGATTCATACTAGACCACTCCAAGATCACAGACACTCAGGTACTGGACAGAGCAGGTGTCACAACAGTTTTCTCTGTGCTAAGTCGGAAGACAGGTGAGACTGGGTCACACTTGTGGAATGGAGGGAGATTGGGTCACACTTGAGGAATGGAGGGAGATTGGGTCACACTTGGGGAATGGAGGGAGATTGGGTCACACTTGTGGAATGGAGGGAGATTGGGTCACACTTGTGGAATGGAGGGAGATTGGGTCACACTTGTGGAATGGAGGGAGATTGGGTCACACTTGGGGAATGGAGGGAGATTGGGTCACACTTGTGGAATGGAGGGAGATTGGGTCACACTTGTAGAATGGAGGGAGATTGGGTCACACTTGTGGAATGGAGGGAGATTGGGTCACACTTGTGGAATGGAGGGAGATTGGGTCACACTTGGGGAATGGAGGGAGATTGGGTCACACTTGGGGAATGGAGGGAGATTGGGTCACCCTTGTGGAATGAAGGGAGATTGGGTCACACTTGGGGAATGAAGGGAGATTGGGTCACACTTGGGGAATGGAGGATGATAGAGTCCCTAAGCGTATCCTCTGTGGTGTATTACAGATGAGCAGAAGATGCCGAGGCTGGCCTCTAGTATGATATAAGGATGTCTGCAGGGGAGACATGAATGATTCAGGTATTGGGGTAGATTTGTGGGAACAAAATGCCATGATCAGTGTTTAGTGAAGGGGAACATAAGGAAGGGAACAGGAAAAGAAGAAAAAATAATTGCAGAAAGGTTGAGTGCTGAGCCTCCGAGAATAATAAACCAACACAGAAGTGGTGTCATCAGCCGCTACATGCTGCGGGATTTACTGAGGAGGGGATCGGAGCACTTATGGACTGAGTGGTTTGACGTGCAATGAGGATAATCTGTTGACTAACTAACTAATTAACTAAGACGTAGAGCATGAGGCAGACCAAGAATAGGAGGGAATGATAATAACAGAGAAACTCTACAACAGCTCAGTCTGTTTATGGTCGAGGTGGCCAAAAGTGCAAGAAGCAGAACCTTGACACCCAAAGTGTTAAAAGAGGAGAAGAAGAAGAGAAGAAGAAGATTGTTTGTGGTCTCATCATTTAACTCACAATGGGAAAACATATTTTTATCTTCTTCTTTTTTTGCGTTCACTGACTGTAAACTCCGATGGAATGTTCTGGTTGTTTGTTGACTTCTGGACTTCAGTCTTATTCCAGAACTTGAGTTTTGCTAGCACATCCGTTTGACATATCTGGTTTATGCAGACTGTTGATTCCTTGCCTTTCAGGCAGATGTATGCCAACTTTAAAGGAAACCCCTAATTAGTCAACTCTCATGACATGCTTGTTGAGGAAGCCCTCCCTTTTCCAGTTGCGCCTGGGAACCCACATAGGAAATATTTAGTTGTTATACATTGTTTTGTTTTACAGTTATGACTACTTTTTGTTTTTATCACTCACACAGGACCCCCAGGAGGTGGGGCGGCAGGGTGGGCACCTGCTCCACAGGGAGCCCCGGGACCCCCGGCACCTCCAGCTAACTGCCCCCCTGGCTTGGAGTACCTCACACAAATTGACCAGCTCTTGGTGAAACAGAAAATTGAGGCTATTGAAGGTCAGTGGGTGCATTTTTTAATGATTTCTATATCAAGGGCAAAAATAAAATTCAAACCTACACAGTGTTGTATGGCCACTGCTCTAGCTGTCATCTATGTATATATTCATGTCGCTCTTGACACATAAGGCATTCATAAGTGAACTCCATTGCTGCCGGTCTGCTGCTTTTCTGCCCATGGTATTAAAGTATTTAATGAAGGTAAATATAGAAAATGCTCAAACAAAGGCAGCCTTTTACAAAATAAAATTCTATGCAATCTTTCTTTATGAATTTAGGCGAGACAGAGTTCTCAAGAGCTATATAAATCTATCATGATATACTGAAGTGAATAATGGACAATTGGGCAATTAATGAACAGTCATTTGGAATGGATGAAAAGAGCAAGGATGTTTTGAAAGAAATTGATTCATAAAAAGAACTGATTTCCCACATCAGAATGAGACAATGTAAATGCTTTAGTCATGTAGTTAGAGGGAGAACATTGGAGTAGATTGTGATGGGGGAAGGTTGGAAGGCAAAATAAGTAGAGGGAGACTAAGTCAGAAGTTGCCGGATTGTTTGACACAATGACATGGAAGATCATCTGTGACATGGAAGATCATCTGTGACATGGAAGATCATCTGTGACATGGAAGATCATCTGTGACATGGAAGATCATCTGTGTCGACAGAATTGATACACAAGTACACTAGACACAAAGTGGACTACAAATGATGTGACTAGAAGAAGGAGAAGATATGGGAGCCAAAGTGATAAAAGAATCTGACTTGATTGCTGATTTGAACTTAGGGTCGGAGTAGTGCCTAGCTGCTACACTTCTGTGGCTGCCACTTGTTGCCAATGTAAACTTTATCCAAGAAATTTATTGTTCTCATTTTTGCAGCTTTCACTGGATTTGAGACAAATAATAAATACGAGATCAAGAACACCATGAACCAGAGAGTGTACGTTGCAGTTGAAGGTTTGTAGAATTCTGTCTTGTCTGTTTTATGTTTTTATGCTTTTCTGTTTTTCTGTCCCAAGAGGTTTTGTAGAATCAACTCAAGTGAGAAAATAAACACTATGAAATATACTGAGGGCCTACTTAGGTAGCCAGAGTTTTTTTAATATGCTCGGACCAAATGTAAAAGTTAACAGAACACATGATGCAGTAGTTGAATTTACCAGAGGAAGAGATAGTTATTTGTTTGCTGATACTGAAATAATTAATTTTGCGGAGCCAACTACATTCACTATAAAGGAAAATTAACTACAAAGGAACACTGGAGCCATGGTAACATAGCGGCCAGCACTTGCCTGCCAGCCAAAGGTCTGGGGTTCAATCCTGCATCGATGCAGATTATTATTATTATTATTGTTGTTATTATAATTTTTCAAATTCAGCTTTGCTTCTTCCAGGTCAGCTGAGCCTAAAATAGATACCAGGGAAGTAAAGGTGGCCTGTGTGATGTGCATGGCCTGTCTAGCATCATATACCCTGTGCACTACTGGCATAAAAGGGCATCCTTTACTTTTTTAATTTGTTTGAGCTTGTATCTAAGAAAGGTTTTTTTGAAAATCCATCCTGTATTTATTTTTTACCTTTCATATTTTTAATGTAACCCTGCTGCCCCGAGAAGACAAAATCTGGCCACTAACAGTTGGGACACATTCTCGTAGATGCTGATATATTCCCGTGCCTGCAGGAACCTGTTCATGAAAAGTATAGTTAAATTTCAGTGTGAGGAGCGGCAGGCCAAACGGTTAGAACTCTGTGCTCTTAGGTGGGAGACCTAGGTTTGAATCCTCTGTAAAGCTGGGGTTTTTTATGTCAGGGGTAAAACTAAAACCCTCACCTGCACAGTCCGTGGCGACAGCACTAACCATACGGCCGTAAATCCTCAGGCTCAGAGACCCCCCACCTACACTGCAGCGGTAAAAGTGGTAAAATAAAAGCAGTAATTGGCGGTGTGGTTCTGTGTGCTTCCATTGTTTAATAAGATAGAATATGAATATAGTAACTAGTGTCATATTGACCTTAGTGGCTTTTTTTTAAACAGCCAAATTTATGTCAAATTTTCCCTTATACCTCAGTTGCAGAGGTCACCAGGTCATGACACCAGTCATTTGATACCGTGCTCACGTTTTATTGATTACTTCATAAACATTTTTTTATACATTTCACATTTTTTTTAAAAACAAATGAAGATAAATATGTTTACACAAAATTTTTAGGAACCTTGTTATGGTTTTCTTGTAAGCATTTTTATCTTTAAAATTGTCATTGGCTCATTGCCTTTTTTTAGTCACTTTTCTTTTACATTAGAGTGTAGAGGTTTGCCAGAGAGGTCGCCAGACTTCTCTCTCAGCAGTTTTCATTTTAGCTTTGCTCCATTCAAGTTCCCAGTCAGTGATTGTCAGATGTTGCCTTTCTAGCGAACCCTAGGTCTTTCTGGAGGTCTGGTTTCCTGGATCTTGGCCTCCCATGCCTGCCATGGTGAACGATTCTCTACCATTGTGCATTAGTTATTTCGAACACAAAACTAATAAATATGTCTTTGATAAAATATACAAATTTGCGGGACATCAGGAGCCTCTTTTGGCACTGATGAAACGTCGCAAGCTAGCTTGATTTGGGCACGTGGTGAGACATGATTCGATTGCAAAGACTGTTCTTCAAGGAACATTGGGAAAAGGGGGGGGGGGGGGGGGGGGGTAGTCAAAGAAGAGGAGGGCAAAGAAGAAACTGGAATGACAACATCAAAAAGTGGACGGGACTAAGTTATCATACACTTATTCATCAAGCAGAAGATAGAGAAAGATGGCAGTTTTATGTGCTAGTGCATCCATCAATACATCTTCACGACCCTAATAGGTCAAGGGTTATGCTATGTTATTGTGCATACATGTCCAAACCATTGTAACTGTGACTGATCCACTTGAGTTTATAGGGCCGGGGTTTTCCACCACGTCAGGCATGGGAGGCCAGTTCATGGGTTGAAATTATGAGTTTTTGATTGTTCCAATGAGTAGCAACCATTTTGACCGAACTGCTTTTGCTCACTACAGACACCTGTTGCTGCACTCGTAACTGTTGTGGTTCTGCACGTCCCTTTGATATGAAGATCATGGATAACCATAAGAAGGAGGTCATGCATCTGTCCCGCCCGCTGAGATGCAGCACCTGCTGTTTCCCCTGTTGCTTACAGGTAGGATCTGTGTCTGTCCCTGTGTTACTGGGAGTCCCCGTGTTACTGGGATTCCCCGTGTTACTGGGATTCCCCGCGTTACTGGGATTTCCTGTGTTACTGGGATTCCCAGTGTTACTGTGAGTCCCCGTGTTACTGGGATTCCCTGTGTTACTGGGATTCACTGTGTTACTGGGATTCCCCGTGTTACTGGGATTCCCTGTGTTACTGGGATTCACTTTGTTACTGGGAGTCCCCGTTTTACTGGGATTCCCTGTGTTATTGGGATTCCCTATGTTACTGGGATTCACTGTGTTACTGGGATTCCTCGCGAGGGCGAATAAAAAGAATAATCCCCACTGCCGACTCTAACAAGCGTGTCATGAGACTAAACTAATTAGTGGGTTTTGTCCCCTCTTAAGTTACAGCCTAGCTATAAACACAATGGGCCAGCCAGGGTGAATGCTGAAGAAGTCGTGTATTTTTGCCTGTTTATAGACGTGACTGGGGAGAGGGAATGAGAACAAAGGAACAAAATAACTTTATGCTCGAATGGTCACAAATTTGGCAAGTAGACCCATTTTACACAGAGTAATTATATTTTATGTAAATATAACCTTTTTCCACGCCTTCACACTTATTGGGCATATAGGACTAGACCTGTATTTTATAGACCAGTCAGCACTTAGTGGGTGATGTGGTCAGCATAATCCCGGCTGACTTTACTTCCAAGGACTCTGCCTGGTACCCACTCAAGGCTGGGACGACCTGGAAGCCAAGTTCATTTTTGAAAAAAAAAAGTATGGAATCGCCAGAACCTGAACCTGTGAAGTTCAGATCCAGAGGCGAGCGTCTAGCCACTACACCACAGCGGCTCCTTGTATTTTATTTCTATGAATGTGAAGTTCATTAAACAGTTAACAGGAACCAGCTAACCACTCACACAGTTATACATGTTATGAGAGATACAAACCTTCATACACACATCTATGTACGTATTTATGTACAAACATACACAAATGTGCACACACACACACACACACACACACACACACACACACACACACAAACACATACCCATGGTGGTCTCTGAGGCGAAGTGGTCATGCCATTTGTTTGTCTCATGGTCTGTGGGTTCATGTCATAGACAAGTCTGTGGGTTCATGTCATAGACAAGTCTGTGGGTTCATGTCATAGACAAGTCTGTGGGTTCATGTCACAGACAAGTCTGTGGGTTCATGTCATAGACAAGTCTGTGGGTTCATGTCATAGACAAGTCTGTGGGTTCATGTCATAGACAAGTCTGTGGGTTCATGTCATAGACAAGTCTGTGGGTTCATGTCATAGACAAGTCTGTGGGTTCATGTCATAGACAAGTCTGTGGGTTCATGTCATAGACAAGTCTGTGGGTTCATGTCATAGACAAGTCTGTGGGTTCATGTCATAGACAAGTCTGTGGGTTCGTGTCATAGACAAGTTTTTCAGTTCACACACATAGTTTTAAAGATAATCCCTGGGGATGGTTTCTGGAGCTACGGAGTTCATGCTTTGTTTGATGCTTTTTGCACACAGCAGGCTGTCCTGTAGAAAAACACACACACCGGAAAAAAAAGTAGTTTTGGCAGCAGCCTTGATCAGCACAAGCACAGTGCTAAAGACTGCTGCCAATATGTCTTTTTGTTCCTGGGTGTGTGTGTTTTGGCTTCCCACCTTTGTTAAGGATGTTAAGTCACCTTATTAAGTCACAGCTCAGTGAATTAATTTCTAAGTCCAGGTCTATTCAGCTGAGTTTACCCAGGAGCCCAAATGTTGAACATGAAGCCTTTCAGGCACAGGAAGATCAGTAATCAAATACAGCTGGCAGCCACTCACGAAGCCTCTGTCGGCTGGATTTGGCCTATGTGCTACCAGTTCCCTGTCTGAATCCTTTCATGTCATGATTGACTAAAAGTGTATTTCATATCTGCAGAAACTGATTGTGGAGGCACCAAAAGGCTCTGTCATTGGCTACGTGCGGCAAGCCTGGAGCTGTTTCCACCCCAGGTACAAGATCAACGATGCTAGTGATCACACTTTGCTGCGGGTCAAGGGGCCATGTTGTAGGTGCAACATGTGTGGCGATATCGAGTTTGAGGTGGGTTGTCATTTCATTCAATTCATACAACATTCAAAGGCTGAAATGGTTTGGCCATTGAATGAGAACGAATCCAGTGATGCCAGACACGAGAGATTACAACATGAAAGTAGAAACATCGAGAGGTAGATGACAACCAAGAAGATGTTGGAATGAAGGAGTCAGTGATACCTTAAGACTCCACAGTTCACAGCATACCAGGCAACCAAGTGCATCTTAGCTTGGACACCGATCATCTGGTAACCTGTGATGCCTACTGGCAGAAAACGGACAAAGAAAGTAAAGTTAAGGACCCTTTTCCACACCGTCAGGTGTATTGGGCATATAGGGCTAGACCTGTATTTTATTTTACAGACCAGTCAGCCATCAATCAATGGGTGATACAGTCAACATCATGTCGGCTACCTTTTCTTCCCAGGACCCCACCAGGGACCCATTTGAGGCCGGGTCCACCTGGAAGCCCAGATCATTTTTTTGACAAAAGTCTAGCTCCATCAGGACCTGAATCCAGGACCTTTGGATCCGCAGGCGAGCATTTAGCTGCTATACCACAACGTCTCTCGTGGACACTAGAAAGAATCAGCTTATATACTGGGACAGTAAACAAGGCACTAGAAAATTGAACTGTCTGGAGATGTGGGTGTACACAACCGTAGGTCGTATCTCATGGCAACAAATATAGTCCGATACAGAGGTTCTGAAAGGACTAGGAAAATTCTTGGCACGTACCACTCAGTCAGAAAGTTCTGGTTGTTTGTCCACTTCTGGACTTTGGTCTAGTTCCAGAATAGACCCACTTTCTCTCTAACATGCATTATGTAGAAGTCTTCTAATTAGGAGTGTTTCCTTTAGAGCGCCTCTGCCTGAGAAGCAAGGAACCAATAGTCTGCATACAGATAAGCCAGATCTGTAAAATGGATATGCATGCAAAATTCAAGTTCTGGAACAAGACAAAAGGGGATGAGTAAACAAAGCTTTCTGACATGTTGCATTGGTAGTTATGTCTATCCACAACCTTCGGTCTCCCGTCTTCTCATAGTCCATGCCATGCAGCGGTGGCAGGTCATGTCTGTACACATCTGTCCACAACCTTCTGTCTCCCATCTTCTCATAGTCCATGCCATGCAGTGGTGGCAGGTCATGTCTGTACACATCTGTCCACAACCTTCTGTCTCCCGTCTTCTCATAGTCCATACCATGCAGCGGTGGCAGGTCATGTCTGTACACATCTGTCCACAACCTTCTGTCTCCCATCTTCTCATAGTCCATGCCATGCAGCGGTGGCAGGTCATGTCTGTACACATCTGTCCACAATCTTCTGTCTCCCGTCTTCTCATAGTCCATGCCATGCAGCGGTGGCAGGTCATGTCTGTACACATCTGTCCACAACCTTCTGTCTCCCGTCTTCTCATAGTCCATGCCATGCAGTGGTGGCAGGTCATGTCTGTACACATCTGTCCACAATCTTCTGTCTCCCGTCTTCTCATAGTCCATGCCATGCAGCGGTGGCAGGTCATGTCTGTACACATCTGTCCACAACCTTCTGTCTCCCGTCTTCTCATAGTCCATGCCATGCAGCGGTGGCAGGTCATGTCTGTACACATCTGTCCACAAACTTCGGTATCGTGTACTTTCCAATTCAGACAGATGGATGATCTTCCATAACATGATGTTAGCTTGTCCAATATCTTCTCTCTCAGTCTTCCCCTGTCTCTTTTCCCCTCTGTCTCTATTTCACCATTTCGTTCTGTCTTGTGCTACCACTTTGATATTGCTGGAATCCAGAACAGAACCTATAGCTTCTCTCATTATTGTTCATCTTTAGCATTTCTTGTGGACGTACTCGCTTCCTTGATTCTTTTGTTGTACGCCACTTTACAAACAAGATATAGTTTTTTATGAAAAATATAGTTTTATATTAAAAACAGATATAGTTTTACATGAAGAATATTGTTTTATATGAAGAATAGATATAGTTTTAAAAATAATTTTTTTGTATGTAGTTTCTTCCCAGTATGGGTTCTGTAGCTCCATTATGGCAAAAGACAAGAATAGACCCACTGCCTACCCGACAAGCATGACCTAGGAGTCGACTAATTGGTGGCATCCTTTGAAGTCTGTGCATCTGCCTAAGAGGCAAGGAACCAACAGTCTGCATACAAACGTCAGATCTGTAAAATGGATGTGCACATAACAATCAGGTTCTGGAACAGAAGAAGAAGAAATATAGTTTCTTGTTTATTTCATGTCTTCATTTGTATGGAGCTAGCTGAAGACTTGTGGATGTTTGTATAGATAACATCTGCTGATGGTGAGACCCATGTTGGAGAGATCACCAAACAGTGGTCAGGCCTGGGTAAGGAGATCTTCACCGATGCCGACAACTTTGGAGTCACTTTCCCACTGGACCTGGACACCAAAACAAAGGCCACAGTTCTTGGCGCTGTCTTTCTGATCGTAAGTATTGACAAATATCTTGGCATCATCATCATCATCATCATGCGGTAGCTTATCAATATCAGGAAAAGATATCAAACCAAATGACAACCTGCTGGCTTCACAATATCACATACACAAATGACAAGTGAATATTGTGGCTTGAGAGACTTCATCAGCACATTACAAAAATCTACAATACCACAAGTACAAGCAAGAATAGACCAAATCACTTAACTCCAATAGAAATCACATTTATATCTGGCCAGTAAAGTGTCTGACATGTGTGTGACAACCAGGTATAAATATTATTTATCTATTAGATTGCTATATTTCTTTTAATTTTAAGATTCAGAAATCAACTTTTAAATGAAAGATCCTATGCTAGCTTGTCAAGTATGGAACTTTGCCAGAATAAAAATCTTTCAAAATGTCTTTCTTTCATAAGCCAGATCTCTGTGCTGGTTTCAGAGCCTCATTGAGAGAGTAATCCCACTGCCTGGCTCCCTAACTAGCATGTCGTTAGGGCGACTAATTAAGAGCTGGCTGATACTGGATGCATTGGGTTGACAGGCTCAGATGTAAACCAACACATGCTAGCCACCAAGCAAACACAGAGGAAGAAGAAGATATTCTTGGCTTGTCTTTCTCTGTCTGTTCACAGGTTGTAATCCCTTTAGTTTCTGCAGAGATATTTGTTTCCCTTAAAATTGATGTCATCGGTCAAAGTCTGGGGCTTAAGCGTTGTAAAAGGATTTTGTAACTCCAAGGTACCTGGTCAGTTTTGGCTGCGGGTGATTTTGGTAGCAGACCAGTTGCGTTGATTTTGACTCTAGAAATGACCATTCAGAAAAAAATGGCAAACTAGTGAACATAAAAGACCCTGATAAAACCCAAAATGTGGTATGAAAGTTAAAAGCATTTGAAAACAAATGCCTCAGGGAAATGTTGAACATAATGGGATGAATTGAAGAGAGGGGAAGAAATAAAAGAATGGACAACCACTGGTAACAACAGTTATAAGGCAGAGAATATGATGCTATATTGGACATCCTGAGAAGAAACGGGCAGAGAATCATCAAACAGGCATTAACTCTTTGAGTCCCAGGGGGTTTAGCATCACAGGCCCGGGGGTAGTAAATAAAGTCATAAAATCGGCGCATCTTGCGTTCATTGGGCTTCAAGGTAGGAAGCCATGAATGTATGATGCGTTCCCTGAGACTCAAAGAGTTAAGAAGCAAGGCTATCCAAAAGAAACCATAAACCGAACGTTGATGATGGAGGCCAAAGCTGCTGGACTGGATTCCATGCGTGATGTTGAATGTATTGCACACTATATAGCAGAATGAAGGCTGAGACTTCGGGCCTTATATGACATATTATGGTACAACAGAACAGTGAGTGAATGATAAATAACTTTCCATAATATTTTCTGCTATCAGTTTGAGGCTGCGTTAAATCTGAAGCCTTATTTTTTATTCTTTCTTCTTCTGCTTTAATTTTTTAAAAGATAGTTTGCATGTTGTTTTGTGGTTTGCAGCTAGGCAGTGTCGGCACCTTTTGGCCAATGCATCCAGTTTCAGCATATCCTCAGTTAGTTAGCTTTCATAACCTGCTTGTTGAGAGGCAGTGAGTTAATTCTTTTTCCCTCCCACCACAAGTGTCTCAGCACCATTGTTCTGCCTTAATCTCCCGCTTGCAGCTCTGTCAGTTAAACCTGTATTAAATGAATCAATCTAGAACTCTGTCAGTTAAACCTGTATTAAATGAATCAATCTAGAACTCTGTCAGTTAAACCTGTATTAAATGAATCAATCTAGAACTCTGTTAGTTAAACCTGTATTAAATGAATCAATCTAGAACTCTGTCAGTTAAACCTGTATTAAATGAATCAATCTAGAACTCTGTTAGTTAAACCTGTATTAAATGAATCAATCTAGAACTCTGTCAGTTAAACCTGTATTAAATGAATCAATCTAGAACTCTGTTAGTTAAACCTGTATTAAATGAATCAATCTAGAACTCTGTCAGTTAAACCTGTATTAAATGAATCAATCTAGAACTCTGTCAGTTAAACCTGTATTAAATGAATCAATCTAGAACTCTGTCAGTTAAACCTGTATTAAATGAATCAATCTAGAACTCTGTTAGTTAAACCTGTATTAAATGAATCAATCTAGAACTCTGTCAGTTAAACCTGTATTAAATGAATCAATCTAGAACTCTGTCAGTTAAACCTGTATTAAATGAATCAATCTAGAACTCTGTTAGTTAAACCTGTATTAAATGAATCAATCTAGAACTCTGTCAGTTAAACCTGTATTAAATGAATCAATCTAGAACTCTGTCAGTTAAACCTGTATTAAATGAATCAATCTAGAACTCTGTCAGTTAAACCTGTATTAAATGAATCAATCTAGAACTCTGTTAGTTAAACCTGTATTAAATGAATCAATCTAGAACTCTGTCAGTTAAACCTGTATTAAATGAATCAATCTAGAACTCTGTCAGTTAAACCTGTATTAAATGAATCAATCTAGAACTCTGTTAGTTAAACCTGTATTAAATGAATCAATCTAGAACTCTGTCAGTTAAACCTGTATTAAATGAATCAATCTAGAACTCTGTCAGTTAAACCTGTATTAAATGAATCAATCTAGAACTCTGTCAGTTAAACCTGTATTAAATGAATCAATCTAGAACTCTGTTAGTTAAACCTGTATTAAATGAATCAATCTAGAACTCTGTCAGTTAAACCTGTATTAAATGAATCAATCTAGAACTCTGTCAGTTAAACCTGTATTAAATGAATCAATCTAGAACTCTGTCAGTTAAACCTGTATTAAATGAATCAATCTAGAACTCTGTCAGTTAAACCTGTATTAAATGAATAAATCTAGAATTTTCAAGTGAAATATTTTGGCCACATTAAAAGTCATAACAGTATTGTAAAGATCATCCTAGAGGGAAAGGTTCAAGGTAGGCGAGCAAGAGGCAGACAGCGTTACAAGTGGGAGGATAACATCAAGAGATTGACGAACAGCAGTATGAATGAGTGTACATCAAGGGCAAGAGACAGGGCTTGTTGGAGATCCATTGCAGCCAACCTTCATTGTGGAGATGGCACCTGCTTGATTGATTGAGAATTTTAGTTCCGAATCCAGCAAGCAAACAGTGTTACCTGTCAGATTTCACCTCTACTGAAGCACCCAGCAATACCGGTGGAAACTAAAAGACATCATAAATGTAATCTTTTTACCACGTTGTGTTACCAGTGCCAAACCCAGGCACTTACAAAAGAACAAGAAAATAAAATAATGGCGTGTGAAATGAGATGTTTGTGAAAAGAAATAAACATAACTAGAAGAGACCATGAAAGAAACCTAGATATCATTAGAATGGTGTGAACAACATCTGTAACTTGATTTATTGAAAAACAAAGACTGAAATGGTTTGGCCACTTGGTCAGAATGAACCCAGCATCACAGGTTGCAAGAGCATACAACATGAGAATGGAACCATCAAGATGCAGAGGAAGGCTCAGAAGAAGATGGATAGATGGAGTTAATAACTTGCTGAAAGTCAGTATCACCATGCAGCAAGCTAACGAGTGTGCATTATCCCAGAAACTGATCATGAGCTGTGCCTGCGAGTATTAAGCAGAGAAAGACAATAGAGAGATAGAATCAAGAATTGACATGACTGCACCTGAGACATTCCTGCACATGCTCAGTCTTCTTCTTCAGTAGCCAATAAAGAGTCCACATGCCAGTAATACCAGCTGTGACCTGAATAGATGTCCGCCTGAATGTCAACCTCAGTGGTGAATATCTGCCAGACCCTCAACACGCCGCTTGTTAAATTAGTCTTTCTGTGCCTAGATTCTTTGTATGCTCTGTTGTACTGTCAGTTTGATCTCTGAGAGCTTTCACCACCTCTGCTTTATCGTAAAGTAGCTCACCACTTAGAGGAGTGGCGGCAGCCAATCTGGTAGCCAGCTTGCGTTAGATTTCCTTACCAGGCAGGCGGTTTAGAACAAGACCATTCTTGTGATTTCGGCACTGGGACAAAAGTCACTACCATGGAAGAGATGGTCCTCAAAGAATACAGTACCTGTAATTCACCGTGGAGATGGCACAGTTTTTCCAGTAAAACTGTATCTTCCCTGGAGCATAAGAAGGTTGTAGGTTCAAATCTGTGTTGAGCTGGATGTTTTTCCAAAAATTATCTTGATCCCAAGTCGGCTCAGCTTGAAATGGGTACCAGGTAAATCCTTTGGCAGTAAAGGCGGCCTGTGTGTTGATCACATCACCCACCGAATGCTGATTGGTCTATATAGGTTTAGCACTATATATCCAGTATGTAAAATGATGGGGAAAAGGGGGTTTTTACTTGGAGATTAAACCTTTACACTCCTTTCCTCTGGCACGACAGTACACTACTGTTTTGCTCTCAGAAAGAAAAGTGTTTTATTAAAATGTAGGCCCTCTAGAGCAGGACTGTTTGACTAAATTCCCTCAAGGGCTAGAATTGTGAAAATGGGATTGCCACCGGCCAAAGGCTCAAGCCCCAACATAGAGAGATCAATAATACAACTAGCAATGATCTGTGGGCCAGATACAGCCCACGGGACTCCAGTTTAAAGCCCAACTCTTGAGAAACCATGTATGCCTTTCTGTTTTCAGGATTTCATGTACTTCGAGCATGACAGCGGAGATGTCAAGAAAGAAGCAAAACGACTGACCTAGTTTATCAGCAGATACATTACACGACCTATTCAAGAAGGGCTAGCTTCTTCTGAACGACAAGATCACATGTATTATTAATCTGTGTCATTTTTGTACGGGGAGGGCTGACTTTATATTGCTGTTTGACAACAGAATGATTGGACAAAAATCTCGACAAAACCAATTACATTTTGTATGACCGGTGTTTGTTTATATATTATTTATTAGAACTGTCAGCACTTTGATTAGATTATAGGTATTTGTTTTTACAGAATAATATTTTATTAAGATTATATATACTTTGTTATTATAAATACTTTTTTAAGATTATAGTACTTTGTTTTTTTAGGTACATTGTTAATACTAGCCACTTTGTTGGAATTGAAGATACTTTGTTAAGACTATAGACATTTTGTTAAGATTATAAGTACCTTTTTAAGACTGTAGACACTTTATTAACAGAAAGATACTTAACACAATTTTTTAGGTGCTTTGTTAAGACTGCGATCACTTTTAACTCTTTGAGTCCCAAGGAACGCATCATACGTATATATGTCCCAATGAACGCAAGATGCGCCATTTTACATATTTGTTGACTACCCCTTGGGCCTCTGATGCTAAACCCCCTGGGCCTCAAAGAGTTAAACATTGTTTTGCTCTTAAGACTAGGAAATTTAAACTAGGTATTTTTATGAAATTAATAATAATTTTTTTTATTGTAGGAACTTTGTTATGATTGTAAGCACTTTGTTAAGACTTCATGAAGTTTCACATTGTAGGCAATGTTTCAGAAAATGTGTGGTTAAAAATTGTGTAGTGGTTATGATTTTGGAACAAATCAAATCTCTGGATTTCAACCAGGCCTAACCATTTGTTACTATAGCAACATTGATAAACAGGCCAGTTTGTAATTACATACTCAGTTGCTTTTTTTTAAAATTAATATGTTTACAGCTTCGTTTTAACTTCTTCTTAAGTGCCTCCAACATTAATGATCTTTTGCCTTTATGCTGTACATAATATAGACAGTTATCAACTATGAGCTGTTTTATTCTATTTATTTAAATTTTTTATTACATTGCTGCATTTCTTCTAAATTCAAGAAGCAGAAATCAACTGTTTAATAACAGATCCGATATCTACTGGTGCTTTCCCTGCTAAAGTGTTATGTATTTGTTTATAATTTGTGGTTATGATCACTTCACAGCTGTTTAGATTTTGACTAAACTTTATTTTTTTTTTTTTAAACTTCACCTGCTACTTAATTTGTATCTCATTACTTAGAAGTTTTAATTTTATAGTATTTAGTATCTCCACTCTATGACTTTGTAGTTTTTAATTCATCATCATCATCAGTTTCCATTTTCATCATCAAGCCTAGTTGGGAGGGACAGTTTGCGATTCCGTTACTTGATAGGCACCAATAGCTGTTGTCATTCTGTCTCAGTGTGGAAGCTCTTTAATGTCGTCATTTTATGGAAATGTCCCTGACAGTTGTCAATAGGGGGGGGGGGGGGGGGGGGGGGGGGGGGGGGGGGGGGGGGGGGGGGGGGGGGACCTTCTCTCCACATGTGTGCATGTTCTCTCTTTTTTTTAAAGTATATATATATATATATATATATATATTGTGAAGCAGCTTGCCAAACAGTAAAGAACCAGGGTCTAATGTAGGAGACCTTGGTTTGAATCCTCAGTAAGGTTGGATTTTTCCTTGTGGGTGGGGGGTAATTAGGTTGCTCAATCCATGGCAACAGCACTTGTCAAGTGACTCTGAATCCTTAGGCGTAAACCCTCCCCCTCCTTCCTACACTGTGACAGTGGTAAATAGAGACAGTATTTATAGTTTTAATAATATATTTCATATTATTGAAAGCTTATTGTATATTTTATACTATTCAGCAAGTATAGGACCCTTTTCCACGTCTTCAGGTTATTGGGCATATAGGGCTAGACCTACATTTTTATACACCAGTCAGCACTTCCTGGGTGATGTGGTCAGCATCTTGTCAGCCACCTTTACTTCCCAGGACTGCACCTGGTACCCACTCAAGGCTGGGTCAACCTGGGAGTCAAGGTCATTTTTGATAGAGAAAAAAGTCTGGTAACGTCAGAACGCGAGACCACCTCCTTCCAGTCCGCAGGCGGGCGGGCGTCCAGCCCCCAACGCCACGGTGACTCCCGCTATTGAACACATGATTATTATTGATTAATGATTCAGTTGTTAAACAGAACACTCGGCTGCCCCCTGTTTTTCCATTGTTTCTGTCTGTAGGAGCTGCTGATAAACTCTACAGGTCTCTTAACCCTACCAGACATGAGGCCCTGAACCTAACTGCCCCCTATATCTGAGCTTCTGAACATTAACACGAAATAACCAACATGATGTACAAAAATATTAGTTACATGTAAACAAGTGGCTAGAATAAGATGAAGCTTGGAGACATTGTAGAAAATAGGCTTACCTTTTATCTAGCGCCAATATTCCACCTTTGTGTGCTAATCCACTCAGCAGGATCAGCCTTGTTTCACAAAGCAAGCACCAGATGTTGCTGTTTGAAGGACACGCCCCCTTCTCCTACTTTTGATCTATTTCTAGATTTATAATTTTCAAGATTCTCCTCATCATTCACAGAGTCTGAATAAACCAAAGTATCGATCACCTGTTGGACTGTGAAAAGCCTAGACCTACTTTAACTTTCCTGTTGAAGTGCTTGGTTCATCAGCAGCTCGTTTCATTGTGAATTTTCAGAATTTTTTTATTTAATCCAAACATGTGCGGGTGGACTTCTGGGAATACTATCCACGAGGTCTGATTACGATTGGCTAGTTTTTTTTAAAAAGTCTGTGACGCATCTTTTCCATGTACTACGCAAATTGGTCAAAATTAGGGACAGTGGTATAGCGTCAGGTTATTAAATTACCGAAAAATGGGGTCAGCGGTCTGGTAGGGTTAACAATTGTGTGTCAATGAAATCTGATCTCCTTCAGTTGAACATAACGCCTCTAATCCGTAAAGTTCCTTTGAGACTGAGTGTGACAGTGTGTAGGCACGAGCAGATCATCAGTCTGAAGAAATGGTGCTGTGTGGAGTGACAAGTTTATCTGGCCGACACCCAACACTTTTTTATGTTACAGATCACAATTGTAATCATTTGTATTGCTCTAAATATTTAAATCTTTTTACTTTGCTGATCACAGAACTGTCATGTTTTTATTATTATGCTGTTTGACTTCTTGATGCTGAACTGTTTGACTTCTTGATGCTGAACTGTTTGACTTCTTGATGCTGAACTGTTTGACTTCTTGATGCTAAACTGTTTGACTTCTTGATGCTGAACTGTTTGACTTCTTGATGCTGAACTGTTTGACTTCTTGATGCTGAACTGTTTGACTTCTTGATGCTAAACTGTTTGACTTCTTGATGCTGAACTGTTTGACTTCTTGATGCTGAACTGTTTGACTTCTTGATGCTGAACTGTTTGACTTCTTGATGCTAAACTGTTTTGACTTCTGACACATAGTATTGAATTGAATTTCTGTTTGTGAATTGATTGCTAAATCACATCTTTGTATTCACTGCTTTATATAAATAGCAGTTTAATTTATTTTTGTGTATGTATTGTGACAACTGGAATGGTTTGTGGAAAGAGATATAGGAAGGAAATGTCAGAAGATTCTTGACTGCCTTTGTCATGGCCTGAAAAGGTTTCAGCAAATGAAATAATACTGAGTGTAAATTTAGATATGATTTATTTGTATGTACTCTCTTGGTTGTAAAGGATACGTAACTAACCTTTTTGTCGGCTCTGTGATTAAGTCGATTCGAACGCTTCGTAATCCCGGGATGCCAGGTTCGATCCCAGCCTTATGTTGGTTTTGACAGTGGTATCAAGAAAGCCGACCGTCCAGAAAGCAATGGAAAACTACTGGACATAAATTTGCCTAGTAAAACCACACAACAGCCAGTGGCTGTTGGGGTTGGTTCTGCAACGTCCTATAAAGGATACGCAACCAACCTAACACGCTTGGTGCTTCACTTCTCGGGCTGATAGGCTTTGGTGCCTCACTTCTAGGGCCTATGGGCTTCGACTTAAAAAAAAAATTCTTAATTAGTCACTTTTTACCACATGCTTTTTATGCAGGCGGGGATCTAAATGCCCCCCCCCCCCCCCACCTGGAACCCACACAGGAAGTCTGCCTTATTATAGTTTTCATTTTGTCATTGAGATTTGGTGACCTCCATATTTCCAGCACACATAAATCTCAATATCTTAAGTGTTGGTATTTTTCTGACAGTTTTGATGAGATCTGCAACATCCAGAAGTCTCAATATCTTGGTGTTCATTTTTTTCAGACAGTTTTGGCTTGTGAAGAGCCATCCAGAACTCCCGTCTGTGGCCCGTCACGTGACCTTGAGATATCCATAATATCTCACATCATGAATCCATCACGCTGGAACCTTGTTACTCTGGCAACACGCACAAAGGACATGAACACTTGATTCAGTCAGCCAGCGTGACACATAGCTGCACTAGTCTAGCCTGGCAACACCCACAGAGGACATGAACACTTGATTCAGTCAGCCAGCGTGACACATAGCTGCACTAGTCTAGCCTGGCAACATGTCAACAGAGCTTGCTGATAATGCTCTATAGTGGCACATTGCAGCATCAGTTCTCAGGGACTGTTGTCTGTGGTCCGCACATGACCCCCTTAAGTTTAAATCTGACCTCCCTCCAAGGGACATAAATGTTGTATATACATGGATTATACTCTCAAGGGTCATAACCCTTTTATGTATCCATATAGTGCTCATCCATATAGTATCCATATAGCAAGTGAAATGTTTTGCCCACTTAGAGAGAATGCCTTGTGACACCATACCATACAAAGCATACATGAAAGAGAAGGAGGACATAGAGCACGGGGTTGACCAAGAATAAGATGGAAGGATAACATCAGAGAAACTCTAAAACAGCACGATGTGCCTATGGTCGAGGCGGCCAGAAGAGCTAGAAACA